TGTTTGAACTGCAAGCCAGACAATCCTTACACTAGGGAGGAATGATAATTGAAATCTACTCCAACCAATGTTTGCTGTTTAGTGATAATACAAACACAGTACTGAGTGTAAGGCAGATAGTTTGCCAAAGAATAACAACTTCAAAATGGTGAAAATGGTGATTTCTTTTTTTTTTAAAAAACAAATAAAATATTCTTTGCTAAGGCATCTAGTAAAAGCTTGTCAAAATTATGCATAAAGTATCAAAGTGTATGCTGCTTAAGATAGCATTATTACCTAGCATTAGCAGTCAGAAACTGTGGTAACAGCTACAAAAGCCTGTTGTAGCAATGTGTTTTGTTGTTAGTGCATTGTGTACTGATACTGCTGTTCCTGTCATAAGGCAGACAGAAATGTTTGCAACTTTTAGACACAGAACCTGATTCTCCACTGTCTTGCACTTGAATATCTGCTTATCTGATTTGGTACAATTTCACACCATAATATACATACATCTTTGGCCAGATACGTCATTTGCAAAATGACAACAGAAGCATCAGACTTCTCCCAGTTTGGGAAAAGATGCAAGTTGTTAGCTTTGATATTGTGCGTAACTTCTGCTATGGTTTTCTTAGTTTTTAAAGCTCAAATGGATTGTACTTTTCCTTGCCTTAATTTGTGCATGTTAAATTACTGTGTGCAATGCAACACTGACACATCATAAGGAATATTGTGCAAATTGCTAACAAGTTTGTAGATCTCTTTCAGAAAAAGTCACAGTAGAAGTGTTGCTATAGTTTCCTCCAGTAGTGAAAAAATTACTCAGTCCTCAGGGAGCCTCACATACTTACAAGGCACATGCTCCCATATTAAAGTTTTTAGCTTCCTGATCTCCCTTGATTTCAAACTTATTTTAATGATTTACATTTGTACCTTGTTCTTTCAGACACTGGCTTGGACCATCAGTCTCTCCTTAAACAGTTTGAGCACCTGAACCATCAGAATCCTGACAAGTTTGAACCTAGAGACTTGGATATGTTGATCAAAGCAGTAAGTGCTAGATGTAAACTAGCATGGGGGTTTTTGATATTAATTATTTTGCTTTTTTCCTCTGGTAAAGGCAATTCCTTTTATATATACCACTTTTTTATGAATGACATGCAGTTTTCATTTTCAGAGAAAAGTCATTTGTCTGCATTGCACACTTAAACTGTGGTCAGTGTGCATTATGCTAAAGAGCTCATAAATTTTGGGATGGCATCTTAACAGGACTTGCATTCATGTACCAGTACAAACAACTTTGGGAATAAAATACGCCTTTCTGGGATCCTTTAAATTAAATGCAGGGGTACATTTTTCCCAAGTGTATTTTCTGATTTCTGTTTCTGAATCACTGAATCACTCGGTTGGAAAAGCCCTCTGAGATCATCATGTCCAACCGCTCCTGTCTACCCCCTAAACCATATCCCTAAGTACCTCATCTACCCACTCTTTAAATACATCCAGGGATGGTGACTCCACCACCTCCCTGGGCAGCCTGTTCCAGCCTCTGACAACCCTCTCAGTAAAGAACTTCCTCCTTATCTCTGACCTGAACCTCCCTTGGCACAGCTTGGTGCCGTTTCCCCTTGTTCTATCCCCCATCACCTGGGAGAAGAGCCCAGCACCCACCTCTCTCCAAGCTCCCTTGAGGCAGTTGTAGGTATTGATGAGGCCTCCCCTCAGCCTCCTCTTCTCCAGGCTAAACAACCCCAGTTCCCTCAGCCGCTCCTCATCAGGCTTGTTCTCCAGACCCCTCACCATCCTTGTGGCTCTTCTCTGAACACGCTCCAGAATCTCCACATCCTTCTTCTAGTGAGGGGCCCAGAACTGAACACAGTACTTGAGGTGCAGCCTCACCAAGTGCCAAGTACAGGAACTAAAACACGAATGTTTTAGTTGTCTCAAAGAATGACATATGAATAATGAATAATCATCCCTAAACTAGCCATTTGATTTTTGGGATGTGTTATAAATATATATATACACCTGTCAAGCTGCAAAACCGCAGCAGAGTAGAATTTAAGATATCATTATTAGAAATTGCATATGCTGAGTGTGGCATTCAATTCTTAGTTAGCAGATTCAGTATCAGTATGTGGGGGGGTCGTTAGCGTATGTTTATTAAGGAGAGGCAGCTGAGCTAAGCATGGCATGGCTTTTTCCAACTGCTGGAAAAAAATACGCTTCCAAGGGGAAAAACTACTTTAATCTCAGCTGTGCTTTAGAGAGTGCTGCATGTCTGACATGAGAATTTGACAGCTTTTATATTTTCAAAGTAAATTGAAAGATTACGTATATTTTAAGCTTTCTGTAATTTTTGTTGATTTTTTTTTTTTTGCCCTTGGAAAATTTTATCTCAATTTTCTGTAAAATTATTTTGTATATAATGTCCTGGTTTGAGCTAAATAGAACTAATTCTGAGAAAATTCTGGTTGGCTAGAAGCATATCCTCAATGGGACAGTTCTTTCTCTTCTTATGATATATATATTTATATATAGATATTTGTCTTCTCATTTCTCAGCTGTTATATTGACAGTGTAATGGACATTTTAGGTGGTCTTTGCTTTGGAAATTTTTTTTAAAAGGTACAGGGAATCAGAAAACTATAATGTAAATAATGTAGAGACTGTATCAGATATAAACATGTGGAAATCACTAACAAAACATCCTCTGATACCTTGAGCTGTCTGAAAATTATGTACAAGTACTTGTCAGAAATTCTCCCCTGATGCTCTCTCCATATAACTGGGTTTTTTGATTTCACCTGCATTAAGCTACTGCGAACTAACTCCAATTACTAATGAAGGCACTTTTTTCATTAAACTGTAGGATAAACTACAAATGTTCTTATTCTGAAATAATCAAGGAATTTATGGTACTATTTGAAGCTGTGCTTAATTATTATGAGACTTAATTAACTTGAATTAATTTATTAGTAAGTGATGAGAAAGGACAACTTGATGCCTTCTTACAGTACTGTGTAGTTGCAAGAATTGTCTATCAGTTGAACCCTTGCAAATTAATTTCTATGAAAATAACAAAGTGAGGAGACATGTTTCTGCATCACTGTCATGTGAAAGGAAACCCCCAACTAGTCTACCTAATGTTTGAAAGGAGAATGGTAGTAAGGCCAGCCTTGCCAACAGATCTGAACTATACAGTGTTTTTAATGTCATATGTGTTAACCTAATCGTGTGGCATAATCATATGTCTACATACATCTTCGTAATTTTAGGCTACAAGTGACCTGGAAAACTATGATAAGACTCGTCATGAAGAGTTTAAGAAATATGAGATGATGAAGGAACATGAGAGGAGAGAGTATTTAAAAACACTGGATGAAGAAAAGAGGCAGCGAGAAGAATCCAAATTTGAGGAGATGAAGAAAAAACATGGAGATCACCCTAAAGTTCACCATCCTGTAAGGCCCCAGTCTGTTCTTACATGTTTGGGTGGACACTTTCCAGAGAGAAAAAGCTAGTAAAGAGAAGGGTCTATCTTCCTGGTTCTCGGCATTTCCCTCTTCTCATTGACATGGGAGCAGGGTGTGGAAACAATGCTGAGATGATTACAAAACCCACTATATATACCCCCATTTTTTCTGTACAAGTATGCCGTTTGCTGCCAGAATTCTTATTTACAAAGAAGCTAAAACTCATGGGGAAGAAGCCAAGAATGGTATTCAAAACTGTAGGGATGCCTTCATGGTATGCCTGGCCTGCAAGAAACTGCATCACAGTACCATTTGCCCTAGAAAAGGGAAACTAATTTAACTCCCTCCAGCTGTTTTTTCTAGATGAGTCTGTGTGGCCACGACTCATTGTTACAGGTGTTCCTTTCCACAGAATATGCATTTCCTTGATGCTCCCTCGTGTCCTAGGCCTTTCTGTCCAATGAAAGTGTTAGATCTGACCACAAGGGAATTAAAAAAAATTCCATTGATTCCATTTGCAACTTGACTAATCAGAAAATAAAGCCTTTTAGAGAAACTGTAATGCAAAGGTAATGCAGAAAAATTAGACTTAATCATCCTTTGAATAGTTTTTCTTTGTAATAATCTATAGGGAAGCAAAGACCAACTGAAGGAGGTGTGGGAAGAAGCGGATGGACTAGATCCCAATGAATTTGACCCCAAAACATTTTTCAAATTACACGGTAAGAGGTTTAGTTTAATTTAATGAACATGTGAAGTGACTTTCTGTTACTTTCTGCTGAGGGCAAGTTTGTCTTATGCTCGCATGAATTCTTATACCTCAAGCAATTTGGATGAATCTGAAGAGTGTGCAAGAGAAAATATGAGATTGTTTGTAAGTTTACTGCAAAGTTTTAAATGGGTCTTAAAAGTTGCAGAGTTTTGTTTAACTACTCATAAAATTATATGGCCATAAGTATGGGTACTTAGAATGCTGTCCACATAACTTTGCTTACACATTACATACTAGGAATAAATCCTGAGAGGTATGTGTGGGAAAACCTGCACATAAGTGCCAGACGCGCCTTTTCCTTGGAATCTTCATAGAAGTGCCTCTTCAGAATTTGCAAGATTCCCTTAACAAAACAAAAACCCAAATGCCTCCCAATCCTGCCTCTGTATTTCTGAGCAGTGTGCAGCTAGAAGCAATAAAAAGTAGCAGAGATGAGGATGCATCTCAATGGGCGTTTTGCTGTAAGTGTGATAATAGAAATGTATAACCTTATGTTCTGACATTGTTAAATGCTTCATAATAAAGTACCCTTAAGCAGATCCTGCCTGGCACTGGGCTGTGAGGGTTGAACAGTACATGGAATTGGACTAATTCCAAAGGTGATAATTTAACTGAAGATGTGTTCTAGCTTGAATCTGAACTTTTGTCTTTGTTTATAAAATACATAAATAAATATTATAGTTATTAAACTTTATTTATTCTTTCTACAAAGAGATCTTGAAAGATAATTTTCTGAAAAGTTTTGGTAGCTTTTTTTTGTGCAAATATTACCAAAACAGAAATAGCTGAAATAACCTTTTGCCTTAGAGCTTTGTATATAAAAAAAATTGAAGCAATTAAACAAAAATATTGCATAATAACATTCGTTTGAAGTAGACATTCTCTTTCAGTTTCAGAGGTAGTGTAACAATATTCAGAGTAGAATGCAGGATAAAAGATGGATCATTAGTTATCAAGTATTCTCTGCATTTGTCATGAAAAGTAAGTTTACAGCTATCTCTTCTCAAGCACTGCATTTATATAGATTTTCACTTAATTCTTTAGGGTTTTCTTGGGAGTTGTACTGTTGGTTAACAAAGTTTTTCTACAGATTTCAGTTGCTCCTGAATCTCTTTGCAAATTTAGTTGTTAAATTGAGACAACTTGTTTTTGGCAATATTTTTTGGCAATGGCACTCTGTGCAATCCCGTTGTGACCTATTTCAGTTTGCTAAACTGAGAAGTAGGGAGATTGCTCCAGACTTGTCCAACCAAACAAAAATGACAATACGGTTCAGCCAATACCTGATAAAAACCTAGACAGAAAAAATGGCCTATGTAACCAGCACCTTGTTAAATCAGGTTTTTAAGCCACATGAGATGTGTATGCTGATACTTAAATCATGAAGAACTATTACATGTATCACTTTCTGTACGTACTCAACTTGTATTTTCAACGCTTCTTTTTGTAGATGTCAATAATGATGGTTTCCTGGACGAGCAAGAATTAGAAGCCCTATTTACTAAAGAGGTAAAAAAAAGAAAAGTTCAGCAACTTATTTCTGTAAATGTTACAGGGTTGTCTGTATTTTTTCCAAGTATATTTATGGGCTTTGGACTACAAATTAGAATATTCATGCCAAGTTTCACACATCTTTTATGTTTCTACAAAAGTGTAAAAACATACCAGCAGGCAAAATAAAGTAGTTGAAGCATAGAACTCGGACACTACAGATCTAGTGCTTGTGTATTCTCTGCCACGGGTTTGTGAGATCTTTATAATTAATCTGCAGGATAGCTATACCTCTATAAATTGCGATACAGAGAGCTACACTCCTGTTCAGGCTTGATGCAGCCTGGTAGAGGTTCTGAAGCTGGGTAGCTGTGCTCATTCAGTGCTAACCAACAAGTCGTAAGACTTGTCGAGAGAGAAAGGGTCTCACTTGTGCAAATTGGCTCCAAGACAGCATGCTGCAGAAGTGGTTCCAGAAATTTCACATAGTTTCTATCTAGCTAGTTTGGAGCACGTTACATCTGATAAAGCAGACAGGCTCTTAGTTTCATTAAGACTTGGTTTGTTGCCTGTGAAAACGCAAATATTAGTACTTCTTTGCCTCCCAGAGGGGTAATGCTGGCAATGTACTGAAATTCTACAGTGATGGAATTTGCAGAATCAATGAGTAGAAAAAAAAGGCCTTGGTCTTCATTTTTCCAGTAGGTTCTGTACTGGTATAGCAGAAAAAAGCCCTAAACTTCCCATTCAAAGATCCAGTACTATGGCTGTCAGTATCTAGTCTTACATTTTTTTCTAGGTTTCATAATCTAGGGAGGAAATCTGCTATATAGTGTATATTGAATCTTACAAAGTACTGTAATTTTTAAAATTTATTTGCAAATACAGATTTCTAACAATACTTTGCCATAATTCCCTCTAATATAGTGAAGATATATGGCAGTCTTTTTTGACACATAGTCCCACCAATTTACAGTTTTGTAGTTTAAAAACAAATAGTTGTGGCCTTAAAAATATCAATGGCTAAGCAAGCAAAGCTAAATGACTAAGAAAGCTAAATAGAAGTAAACAAGCATGAACTCACCAGAAACACATCGTGCAAGAAGAGAAGTGGAGCATTAAGTTAAGCACTCAATTTGTCTTGTGATATCTTAAGTGCTTACGAGGTCAGCCACATAGTCTGGTAAAAAAGTTACTCTCCTGTTCCAGAAACCACATGGAAACTCTTCCTGCTTTGAATCAAATGGAGGATCAGACTGTGCATGCCAAGGTCGATTTTACTGTAATGTCCGCAGCACTGAATTACAACAGACCACATGAATTAACTGAAAACTTAATTCTTAACACTTGTTACTTAAATACTATGCTAAAAGAGAATGATTACACACACACACTCACTCTGCTGGAAAAATGGTGAACTCAGGTTCTTATAAACCTCTGGTGCTACTGTTCCAAATGTACTGTTATTTGAATGAGCAGCCCTTCTCCAAACTAACAGTTGGCAATTTTGAATTTCAGCTAGAAAAAGTATATGATCCCAAAAATGAAGAAGATGACATGGTTGAAATGGAAGAAGAAAGGCTGAGAATGAGAGAACATGTAATGAATGAGGTAGGGACTGATGTTCAGTAGAGCTGCTGATTTTTTTTTGTGTGCTCAAGAAATTCAGTCATTCTGACTTGAAGCATTGTCCAAGTACAGCAGAAAGGGACAACCTGTCACACTGAATGCTGTTTGTGCTGGGATTCACACAAAGTAACAATTCTTAAGCCCTGTCCCCATACTCTGATGTAAATGCCTGCTGACTAGTTTTTATTTAAGAGGTTCCAGAGAAAAAATTGTGCTGTAGCCTCCATCTTTTGCAGATGCTGAGATTCAATAGAAATTCCCTGTGAGTTTTGTGTCACATAGGGAAGACTCTAAATGTGCTTTTGCACTTGGGAAACGGGTAAGATTTAGATGTGAGAAGAGCCGGCAGAGCAATGTCTTCTTTCATGTAGCTCACCTTTGTCGCTTCAGAAGAAGGCTTAGAGCTCAAGGTATCACCTATGGCAGTGAATACCTTTACTAGTTCTGATAGATTTTCAGCTCAGGAGATAGGAAAGGGAAGAGGATATTTCAATCCACCGTATTTTTCACTTGTATCTTTTTTGTATTCAACTATATTCCTTAAACTTGAGGTACGGACTGAGTCTGGTTCTCCATTAGTCATAAAAGGAAGCATTTCCTCCCTTCCTGTTAAAGTATTCTGGCAGAATTTAGTTGGGGTTTTTCTGATGATTTAAAACCTCCCCATCCAACAGTGGAGATTACTGTGACTCACAGGTACAAGATTATTACCAGAAAACTACAAAATATTTTTCTCAAAGTCATGCACACCACTATTAGTGTTAAGGCTGTGATCACAAAGAATGTTTCCAATAAAGCCAATGAATTTTGAAATAAAATGTGAGGATTTACTTTTTATTTCCATTTTTGTTAAGCTTTGTAAGCTTGTGAGAGAAAATTTCAGATGTTGTAGGCGGCACTCCCTTGAAAATGGGACAGTTTAAAAATAACACGGTTATATTTGAAGATATTTACATAATGAAATTAAACATTGTCTTCACCAAAACCCATCCTTTAGGTTGAATTTTTTTTTTTGCTTCAAATAGGTTGATATCAACAAGGATCGGCTTGTGACTTTGGAAGAGTTCCTGAGAGCTACAGAGAAAAAAGAATTTTTGGAGCCAGACAGCTGGGAGGTAATGAGGCTGTGTGCCAAGTGCAACATACTGTACTATTACCATCACTAACCAGGAAACCAAATGGCATCTCTCTGACTTTTGCTTTTTGGGAATTCAGTTTTCATATATATAAGCACCTTAGCTAAATGTAATGTACAAAATGTAGCAGATCATGTAATGCAGATGTAATCTTTGTGGTTCACGCACAGAAAATGTCTTGCGCCACCCTGTGGATTCTAGAAGAGCTTTTCCCACATGCTTTTTAAACAGAAAATGGAAGTTTTGTTTATGAATCACTTTAAAGGGAGGATTAGAGCTCAGCTGGAAGCAAAAAGCATTTTTTTCTCCTACCTCTAAATCTGTAGTAAAATTTTATTGAGAAAATTCTACAACATTTGCAGTGTTATGTCTAATAAGAAAAATATGTATGTGTTCCAAGTATTCATTGTATGCATTTTCTTGCAGACATTAGATCAACAGCAGCTCTTCACTGAGGAGGAGCTGAAGGAATTTGAAATCAGGAAGATGAACTTAGAAAGAAGGCAGAAGATCTTCAGAAGCAGAAGGAAGAGCTACAGAGGCAGCATGACCAGCTTCAGGCTCAGAAACAAGAGCTACAGCAGGTACACTCACAAGAATAGAATGGGGTTTTTTAATCTCCTTTTCTGTATCCTTATATATGTGATGGCTCATGACAGTCCCCAACTCTGGAGCATTCTTTACCTTGATTTCTTCTATAAGTCCCAGCTAAATTCTAAAGTTATGGTACCACAACAAAACGTAATCTAGTATTCAGGGTTATAGCAAACAATACAAGCACCTCAGTTCAGTAGTATACTCATTAACAAAGACTTTACGTACGGACTGCAAAATTTGTTTTAAGTGTATTCATTTATGTCACATCAGAGAAAGCTGACAAATTTAAGTTTTTCAACTGTGGTATTTTATTTTTCACCAGGTTGTAAAACAGATGGAACAAAAGAAATTACAGCAAGGAAATCCTCCTGCGGGACCAGCTGGAGAACTCAAATTCCAGCCCCGTATGTATCTTTCTGTGTAGATACACAAAAATAAGATTTCCAGTGTAAAAGTCATTAAAACTGTATTTCCTGTTGAAACTGTTAATATGTGGTTTTAAGGATCTCTCTATAAAGAGGTTCACTAAACAGAGGTAAGTATGGAACTGTTCTAAAGTATTCCTGGAATTTCAGCGCTTTGAAGTCCATAGTGAAGAAACAGAGTTCTAAGGCATCAAATGGGCACAGAAGAAGGATTGTGTGGTACCTATCAGTCTAAAAATTTTGAGATCTGCGATAGCTAGGATTTCTGAGCATCCAAAGAATAGAGGCATACAAATGACCAGGTCTGTCTGATGTTCTATGGCTCTGTTACCAGTCTCAGACTGCAGAACAAATCAAAGCATTTAAATGCTTTCAACAAGTCTATCCTCTGTGGCAAATTTACCAGCATCTGGGCACAAAGTGACATGACAAGTTAGTTTTAGACAATGTAAATGACCTATTGTGGAATCTCTGTCTCTGGAGGCATTCAAAACCTACCTGGACATGTTCCTATGTGATCTTCTCTAGGTGATCCTACGCTAGCAGGGGGGTGGACTTGGATGATTTTCAGAGGTCCCTTGCAACCCCTACCTTTCTCTGATTATTGCTTCTACACCCTCAGAAGAAGACAGTGTCATCATAAATCATTGCATTTACCGATTAGTTACAACAAAATGGTCAAGTATATATTAGCACTTCTTATCTGTAACACATTGTCCATGTTTCTTTTGTGCTTTAAAGGGGCTCCACTCCCCCCTACACCCTAACTTAGCTTTTTCTCCTCCTCTAGAAAGGTTGAAACTATAATGGCTTTACTGCCTTTCATGTTCACATGCTAACATTATCAGCAGAACTCAAGAACTTCTTGATATTCATCTCAAACATAAGACTTCAGACTAGGCAGCCTTTTGAATACTGGAAGCTCTTAACTGTTCCTGCAGGGCCAGCAGCGGGATTTCAAACCTTAAATGCTATACTTACAGCTTTTACAGCTACAGTAATTAGAGCTTACTTTGTTGTTTATGCTGAAATTCCATCCCTAAGCCACTCAGTTCAGTGAAGTACTGAAATTTCTGTATCAATTCAATTTTGTCTTTCATTTGCTACAAAACTGCCTGTGGGTAATTTCATTTTATGGTCCTTAGTTCTGAGACCCTCACTTCGCCTCACCTTCAGTAAAAACATTGTGTGTAATAGCAGATGCCCTAGAACTTGGACTAATGATACATCTTTTGATACTGGCAATGTTGTAGCAGATACTGTTCTTAACACTTATATTATTCTATGTAAAAACTCTTTGCAAAGTCATTTAATCAGGTGCCGTAAGAATCTTTCTATTAGCCAGAACTAGTCACTACTCATTCACTGAGTTAAGGAGACCCAAGTAGACAATATTCATAATCTGTAGGCTACTGGAACTACTGACAATAATTTTAAAACAAACAAAAAGCACAAAAATGTAGCTGCAAGTTCTGAAATCTTCAGCAAACTATGAATTAGTAGTATTCAATGGTAGGCAAAGGTAAAATATTGTAAGTGTTGTTGACACAATCAAGAGTAAAAATGCAGACACAAGGGTTTTTTTTTGCAAGCTTCCCATAATGGAATTAAAGGTTTCATAAACACATAATACATTTCAGAAAGAACAATCTCCAAAGAGCCAATGTGTTATGTAAGTAAAAATATTTTGCAGAAAAACTAGTAATCTAAGAGGAAACTCTGAATATTATAATAATGCAGTCTATTGGGTAATCTCAATCCAATTTTATCGTTAGTCACATACAAAATTGTTGATTGCACTTACAAACCAAAAAATAAAAGGTTATATTTGATTGTCTTGAGACTTTTCATGTTCGGGGCAAATTTAATGGAGAAGTTACAAATCGTTTTATTCTTGTTTTTCAGCTGCAGAACACAAAGCTGGAGATGCACCAAAACATCCTGCAGGAGGTGATCAGCCTTTACCACCAGGACATGTCCAAGAACCAGCTGCAAGAAGTGATCAAGTTCACCCTTAACCACTTGTGCCTCAACTTTATAGCATCTTTATTACTGGGGGGGAGGGAGGGGGATGGGAATCAAGGTGAAACATGAACTTCCCCAGATTGTAAAATCATTGGGAATGTTAGAGATGAAGTACCAATCAGATTTGAATCATAAACTAATTTTCTCTCCAATGCATCAGTGAGAAACACAACAAGGGTATCATTTAGAGGCTATAATGGAGGAGGGAATTAAGGAAACTATTAATACTAAAGGTTCTTATGGCCAGGGGACTGAGCTGTTGAACTCTTCTCTTACAAAAAGGAGGAGATGTCTGCCATTCTGTGTTTAGGCACAAATCTGAATCTTCTCAGAGGGGAAGTAGGGAACTGGCCTGAATGTCACGTTAGATCTAGTTTTATGTAGAAACTCTTTCCAGAAATGTTGAGAAGCAAAATATTTGGAAACAAAGACTATAGATCAAGGCCTACCATTTCCAGCACTACCAAACCCTTACTTATTTGAGACCAAATAAAAATCAAACTTCTAATCCTTAATCACAGAAAATTTGCACTTTCTAAAATCTAAACATAGCAAAGAATTATGTGAATATTTTTCATGTTTACAGAAGCCTAAGAATTTCACTGTAAGCCTTCAAAAGGAATACTGTACTTCTGGTGTATTGGTCTGAACCGTCCTCCTTGTTGAGATTAATTCTGTGTGGCAGTTGAATACTCAACTGGCTCTTGGGATAGTACTCTTGTCCCTGTTTCTTTCATCAGGTGCCAGCTGATCTCAAAATCTTGCATGTTATTAAGTAAGCTTTTTATGTTGATGGAAATATTGTGCAAAACAGAACAAGACTCATTGTCTTTTTCTGTACAGATTATCCTACCTCCTATGATAATACCAGATTTTTCAAAATGCACCATGTGCTTCAGAAAGCTCTTCTCAGATGTGAACCTTTGACTTGTCAAGAGTCTCACTATTAACTCTTATTAATCTTTCAGCAGTTGGTGTAAGTTTAAGAAGCGTGCTAAAATGGGTGCTACTTGATTGTATTATTTTGGTATTGAACCAGGATAGGTCCCTAATATTGTAAGCCAAGACTTTACAAGAAGTTCATTTTCCTGTGGGTCTTACTATAACATTGAAAAGTTGTGTGGTTGTCCTTGCTTGTTATTCATTTCAGACTGAAAGTATCTGAAAGTGTAAACCCTATTTGGATTTTTTTGTTTGCTTGGATCATGGATTGTTCTGATTGTATAATGCTGGCTTTGAACTGATACAGACACACCTCGGCAAGCAGCCTTTGCATTTCCTTCTTGCTCTGTGGCTAACTGCTGGTGGTGTTGTTAAAGGAGATCATTTGGATTTTGAGCAAAGAAACAAAGGCAAGGCTCTGTTATAGAAAGACGTTTCTTTCAGAATAAGACACGAATATTTTAGGCTAGCTTAAAAAAGACAGGAGGCAATGACTTACATTTTGTATTGACATTTGGGAAATTTCTCACTCTGAAGGACATTGCTTGATTCCTTCCATGTTAGAGACTTCTTTCATCAGAACTGAGCACATTCTTGTTCTCTACACAATGTAATAGAACTCACTGCTGGACAGATAAGGTTTCCTTACCTGTTTCATCTTGTTAGTTATCTTGTCACATTTCCTTCATTTGTACCACTCAAGCAACTGGACCTTTTTTGTTGTTGTTGTTCTCTATGCAGGTGGTTAACATTTTAATTTAGTTTCCAAAACCAGTGTCTCCACTGTTTGTAATTTCCATGCGATTCTAACATCAGTTTGATTATGTATTTGTCAGGAAATTAAAATAGCTTTCAACAACTTCATCTGTTTGCTAGGAGACCCAGACATAGGCACAGCTACATCCAGAGTCAGAGTTTCTCAGTGCACAGCCTGCGCTTTGGGGTTGTAGCCTGATAATGGGTAACAGAGCAAGGAGGGAATCAAAGGGGGAATTATTGAAACGTCGTGGAAAAGGTGTGTTCTCTATATTGTGCTCTCCCCATCCCACAGGAAAGCTTACAAAGGACAAATGGTACAGCCACAGAAGTTTGTAGAGAATCAAAGACTGAAACCTTTGGTGTGAAGGCATTTCTAGCATACAGATCATTCCTTAGGCTACATCTGCCTCCTAACAAATGTCATTATACATAATGACATGCTCTGTGATGTAATGCGCAAGCTGTTGTTTCAGTGCAGCCTCTTACATTTTGATTGTAAGATCCTGACTGTGATGTTTGGGATGGGCATTATATTCTCCTTGTCCCACTTGCTTTGAAACAGCCAGAGTTTTGTAAAGAACTTGGGTGCTGAACTTGGCTTCTGCATGCCATGGTGTAGTGACTGTCAGTGGTGACTCTGAGGAAGCCACTTGTGAGAAGCCAGAGTTTTCACTTGGCATTTCATTGTGAGTTAGCATTAGCAGAATTTCCTTGTTTTGCATTTCAAGTAGCCACCGCAGTGTGCTCAGTGTAAAATGGTGTGCATCTTTCCTTCAATTGCTATCTGATGCCTAAATGTGGTTTTTGTCAGTGTTAATTTAATTAGTAGGCTTGCAGTTTAGCAATATACTACAGACTTTCTGTTCATTTTTTTAGAAGTGAAAACAGGCAGTTTTTTAAACCTTAGAATCGGTGACCAGGTTTATCTCTAACAATAATCGAGGTTTAGTCAAACTGACAATTATTTGCCTGAAATTATGTGGAAGTCAGAGCTTCAGTCCTCACCGCAGTGTGCTCAGTGTAAAATGGTGTGCATCTTTCCTTCAATTGCTATCTGATGCCTAAATGTGGTTTTTGTCAGTGTTAATTTAATTAGTAGGCTTGCAGTTTAGCAATATACTACAGACTTTCTGTTCATTTTTTTAGAAGTGAAAACAGGCAGTTTTTTAAACCTGAGAATCGGTGACCAGGTTTATCTCTAACAATCGAGGTTTAGTCAAACTGACAAATTTGCCTGAAATTATGTGGAAGTCAGAGCTTCAGTCCTCACTGTCGTTTAAGTTATTGAACTCCTACTGAACACATCTTAAGTTTATTGCCTCAATGTTTTTGAGATGAGAGCCCAAATTACATCTTCATGCTTGCCCATCCAACTCAAAAATCTCATGTGCATGGTTACCTGTATCACATGCCCACAGAGATAGCACGGACTGAGTGGCTGTTCTTTCAAAGATGGTCTGCCAGGTCTGGTCTATTAACAAAATATTCACCCAGTACTGTTCATCTCATCCTCCTCTGTAGAGGAAGGGTATCATTCTTCAGGCCCAGGCTAAAAGAGCCCTCTGTCGGAGTGTAATAAAGTCACTAAACTATTTCTGTGGATCAGTTCTGAAGTGTGGTTTAAGAGTTACCTCACTGAGAGGAACATCTGCCAGAGAGGTTATGCAGTGTGCTGAAGGCATACTTACACAGGAAATGTTTAGCAGATTTGTTGATTTTTGACATACTTCTTGGTTTCAGTGCTGATGTCCTCTTTTAACTGGGTTCTCTCTTCCATAAAAGAGACTAAAAGTATTAGCCACTAAAAGCATGTTTCTACCATGGTACAGATTTCGCAGGAGCTTTATGAAGTTGAAAAAAAATATTAAACTAAGCTTACAGCTAAGTGAAGAGGTAGAAAGGTATAATCACAAATAAGGGACTGGAATATCACAGGCACCAGTGCTTTCATCTGTCCTCTGCTTTTCATTTAGGAGGTGATTACAATAAAACAATGTCGCTTTATACAGACACCAGTTCCAAGATAAAGATGCAGAGATTTGGTTTTGTACTTGGCTGGGATTTCAGTAGGAGGATGAAGGGGTAAGATTTGGTCAATGTTGTACAAATTCATATCCTCCAGTGCAATATATAGGGGGAAAAAAAAGAGCCCCACTCCATACTTTGTATAGATTAGTTTTTAACTGGATTAAACTGAAACTCAGCACAGCGACAGATGCCTGGTGTTTTATTTTAAGCGGGTGGGAAAGAGGCGGGTTTAGATCTTGTCTATATGTGCAATTTTGTATTTCTGCTTAGAGGCCCTTCCTTTTTGCCCTCCACTTTTTGCTTTCTGAAAAGAAAAGGAATTTATAAAAAAATGTAAGCATCTTGTGTTCTTCCCTGGCACCAGCTGCCTCACTGCAATAGCTATTCACTAATTGGGCACTTGAATGCTCAATTTTCTATATTCATAAAAATGCAAAACCAGCTAATTAAAATGGTACTGCAACAGCATTACAAACTCCTGGCAACACTACACACTGCCCTGACTTGTTCAAGTTCAAAACAGAAATCCCAGAAAAAGAGAAGCAACCACAGGTATAGTAACAGATTTTGCTGTAGGTTACTTTCTCTTTGCTGACAGATTTTGTCTTCAAAGCCAGGTGTGTCAGCCATTTCAGGATGTCAGAATGGCTGTGGCAACGTGCCTCTTGGGGAGATCCAGATACTTCAGTAGCAATGAGTGAGGTTCGTGAGGCCACTTCTATTCTACAGGCTGTGCAGACCTTGCTACTGTGTTTAGTATCATGGAGAAATGACATAACATCTGCAACACAGTGTTTCGCATATGATCAGCTTGTACAGTTGCATACGATTTCTTCACTAGAGGGAGCCTAAGACAAGGATTACTGAGCACTTTTAAAAGCCAGTTAAGAAGAGAATGGTGGCACAATAAAATAGGGTGTTGAAAACTGAATGATCCCTCAAAAGCCAAACAACAACTGCCACATTTCAAAAGGCTTTTTTCTTTCTTTTACAAGAATGTGTTATCTTACATTGTGCTGTTTCATTTTCTTTTGAAAATTATCTTTCACATTTCATTATGCTGTTTCACATAAGGAAAAACTTCTTTACTGTGAGGGTGCCAGAGCACTGAACAGGCTGCCCAGAGAGGTTGTGGAGTCTCCTTCTCTGCAGACATTCAAAACCCGCCTGGACGTGTTCCTGTGTGACCTGGTCTGGTGATCCTGCTCTGGCAGGGTTTGGACTGGATGAGCTTTCGAGGTCCCTTCCAACTCCTGATATTCTGTGATTTTGGAAGAGACCTTGAAATTGCAAATGAGCACTAAGCTAATGATGTTCTTCCTGAATACAGATGCCTCTACCATGCTTAGTTTCTGAGTACAGTACACCACAACTGGATAACAACAATATAAGGATCAATATAAGGATTTTTGGTATACAAAAACTCTAGATACTGACCAGGAAAAGATACTGTTTATAGCTGGAAACCACAGTCCTCCTAGAATAGGATCCTACATCTTAGTGAAATTAAAAAACAGGTAATACTGCACTATTTTTGCCAAAAACACAACTGGAGTAAACAGGATTATGCAGATGCCAACTCATCGCTCCTGATCCTGCTCAAGGAACAGCTGCTTTGGTGATAGCTAGTAAGTTGTTTTATATTAGCTTTCCCCCCCGGCTTTCTAAAGGTAAAAATTGCATCTATCAGAGCCAGCTTTGGGATCCTAACTCACATTCAGTCTTTGAAAGTCCCAGGGAAACATGATCACCAGTGAACAGCCAAGCAGCTGATAAAAATAATGATGTTAAATATGAGAACTGGGATAAAGGAATAGGGTGCTGTCATCAAGGCACGCCTTAAGCTTTTAAGCAGAGTTTCCCCATGTCTCTAGTTTAATTGTCTGTGTTCAATGTTACGCCGCTTACTACACATAAAGCCACAGCTCACTTTCAACTACAATAGTTTATAATTGTTAGTCCAAATACCCTCTTGCTATGCATTTTCTTTTTTAGCAAGGAAAGAGGAAAAGTAAGTGCTGTAAATGTACACTTATGTTCACTGTG